TGCTTTGTTGGTCTGTATCAGAGTAGCGCATCGGAAACATGGGAGAAGTACCATGTTAGATTGTTTTATCGCTGTCGCTTGTGGAATTGCATGATGTGTTTCGTGTGCCTAAGTTAAAGAAGTACATTGATTCAGATAGATGATGTACAAGTGAGAGATGATTTGACTATTGAAGTATTGCTAGTTTGGATTAGTGAACGAGAAGCAACTTTGAGGTAAAGAAATTGCCTTAGTAAAGGTAGTTTTGAGAGGACCAACTAGAGAAAGTTGGATTTGGGAGTGTGAATATCAGATGAGGGAGTCGTATCCGACTCTGTTTACTTGAGGCAATTTTCGAGGGTGAAAATTATTTTAAGTGGGGGAGAGTTGTAACACCCCAAATTTTAATTGGAATATTTTAATTAATTGATTTAATTGAGAATATTCGATTTCGGTGTTTTTCGGTGGCTTTGTGAATTATTGAGGAATTATGCTTTGTGGAGTATTTATTTTGGAATAATAGTATGTAATATGGGTTTATTAATATTATTATGAATTAAAATAAATATAAGAGGAATTAGGGTAATTTGGGCATTTGGAGGAGTTAGTAAGGGTAATGAGGGAAAAGCCCAATTTGTGAGGCCCAAGACTAGGTTGGCAAAATTGAGTTTTGAAGGGAAATTAGAGTTCATTTGTGTTAACCATGAAAGTTTGGTGGCCAGAGCTCTGAAGGAAAGGTTGGAGGCAGAAGATCCCAAAGTTAATCGTGAAAGTTGCGAATCGACTAAGGTATGAGGAGTATCGTTGTTCATGATTTTCTATGTATGCTTTTAGATGTGTTTATGGTTGGCTTATGATTTAAGGTATTTTGAGGTTGATTTGGGAGAATTAGGGAAATTGACCGTACGACTCTGAGATTATGGCTAGTGGTATGTAAAACTGAATATTGATATGAGAAAGGGAAACCTTAGGCCTTCGTGGCCAAAACCTTGGATCGTTATATGTTTGACCCTGTAGGAATAGGAATGTTCAAATGTGAGTAACTCTGATGCACTCAGAGCAATTGAGGAAAATAGTGATTTAGGCAGTGCAAATGTTGCCAAATTGGCCTAATAAACCATAGATTTTATGCCGTTATCGCCGTATGACCTTAGGGATGATTTGGGAACGTTTTGGGGGTATTGGGTAAGTGAATCGTATGAGTATTTGGGCAAGAATCAGTTCTGGTCGTAACAGGTTTTGTTGTCATCGCACTGTTCGCCTAGCGAGCATGCCAGCGAAGACTCACCACATACTCGCCTAGCGAGCACGCTAGCGAAGACTCGCTACCGACTCGCCTAGCGAGCAAGCCAGCGAACGTAGCAGAGTCTGCAAAAGTTGATCATGTTCCAGCGACGCCTTGATGTTTGATTCGGGGATTTCTGGGATGGATTACTATGAGTATGGCAGTAAGGAATTAGGTGATTAATAGGCGATAGTGTGAGGATTATCGCGAGTATAAGTTGATGAATTAATATGAGATGATATGGGATAATATTATGAATTAATATGAGATAACATGAGGTAGTATTATGAATTAATATGTGGTAATATGGTGGGCTAACATGAGGATGACTATGAGCTAATATGTGATTTGGACGTGATTATATGATGATTTATGTGATGATGATTATTATTATGACGAATTATGTGATAACATGAGATATGATGATTTATGTGATGATGATGATTGTTATGATGAATTATGTGATAACATGGGATATGATAATTTATGTGATGATGATGATTGTTATGATGAATTACGTGATAACATGGGATATGATGATTTATGTGATGATGATGATTGTTGTGATGAATTATGTGATAACATGAGATATGACAATTTATGTGATGATGATGAATATGTTGATGAGTTATGACGTATGATGAATATGATGAATGATGATGCACCATATGTTGTTATTATGAGGATTATTGTGACGTGTGCATCATGCATTCATGTGCATCCGGACTTCGGTTCAGGACCTCGATTACTTTGGCTTCAATCCCACCGCGCGGATGTGAAATATTATGATGTGCTCCAATTCTCTAGTAGAATCGATCCTATTGATGGGGATCTATGGAGGGTTGATGGCCCAGTGTCCATCGAGCTGTGATGATTGGTACCACATGCATTGAGTCTATGTTGCATTTGCATTTATGAGCCTTTGTGTATAAATTATGAAGTTGTGGCCTTCGAGGCCTATTGAAGGATATGAATGTGTTGAATATGAATATGACACCGTTTATGCATTTATTGTTATACATTGATTATTATGAATTGTTGTACTCACCCTGCCTGGTTGAATGTTACCTCCACGTGGGTAACGTGCAGATGAGCAAGTTTAGTCGTGGACGCCGTCGAGGAGTCATTTTTGAAGGTTGAGTTATTAGTATACTTAGGTGACTAGAGGGTCTTGCTCTGATATGTAACATCGGGTTGAGTTCTTTGAGTTTGTTTTATATCAGTGGGTTATTTTACTTATTTTCCCTTATGAGTAGAAACCTTGATTTATGCTTTGAGTTCCGCTGTTTATGATGTTTTGATGTATTTTAGGGAAAACCCGTAGTTACGGAGTATGGACCTATTTTGTTGACTTTGAGAAATGTACGCCCTTTTGTGGCTTTATAATGAAATTTATTTATTCACTCTGATTTTTCTTTTATTTTACCTTAATAATTTTGGGGTAGAAAAAGGGTGTTACATCAGGCCTTCTACGAGCTCGCGACACCGAGCACGAAGAAATCGATGCAGTCCCTCAACGGGATGCTCACGTCGTTATTTCGTTTCGTCGCCAAGTTCGCACAACACGCCCTCCCGTTCTTCAAACTACTCAGAAAGGAAGCCGCGTTCGAATGGACGGAGGAATGCAAACAAGCCCTCCTCCACCTCAAACGTGTCTTGTCAGAACCGCCCGTCCTGACGAGGCCCGATGTCGGGGAAGTCCTCTACTTGTACTTGGCCGTGTCAAACGAGGCCGTAAGTGTCGTGCTTGTTCGGGAAACCCCTGACGGACAGAAACCGATTTACTTCACGGGCAAGGCCCTCCACGGCCCAGAGGTGAGATATCAGCAGATTGAGAAAGTCGGGTTGACCCTCATCAACGCGCCCAGGAGACTCCGGCACTACTTCCTGGCCCACACCATCGTGGTCAGAACCGAGCAGCCTATCAAGCAGCTGCTTGGCCGATCCGACATGGCAGGGCGCATGCTGAAGTGGCCGCTGGAACTCTCCGAGTTCGACATCGTCTACGAAGGCAGAAAAGCCCTCAAGGCCCAAGTTCTGGCCGACTTCGTCGCCAAGATGACCCTCTTTCTTACAGTGATAACATTGAATACCAGATGTTTCACTACTATAAGACTTCTGTTGACTTTTACCTTTCTTCTTGTCGAACTTACCATTCTTTCGCAAGAATTTTCCCTTAACGGCCAAACCTTCGTCCACCGTCGAAGGTTTATGCTCCTTTCGTTCGTCCAAGTCCTTAGAATAGAAGGCTGATTGAACTTCTTCAGAGGTCAGAGACTCCATTCCATACAAGAGCATTTCTTTGAAGTGAGCATGTGTTTTGGGCAAAGCACACAGCAGCAACAGTGCTTGATCTTCATTATCGATCTTCACATCAATATTTTCAAGATCAAGAATCAGCTTGTTGAACATATCCAACTTCTCAACCAACACTTTGTCTTCACTCATCTTGAATAAATACAAAGCTTGCTTCATGTAGAGTCGATTCACCAGAGATTTGGTCATGTACAAACTTTCAAGTTTTACCCATAATCCTCATGTTGTAGTCTCCTTTAATACTTGTCGAAGAACCTTATCACTAAGGCTCAACAATATTGCGTTGTGGGCTTTCTCAATCATGCCCATCTTTTCTTTTGTTGTTAATGCAACGTCCATGGTTGCCTCTCCCTTCAACACTTCCAAACAATCCTGCTGAACCAGTAGGGCTTTCATCTTCAAGCGTCACAGACCAAAGTCGTTCACTCCGGTGAACTTTTCAATCTCATACTTTGTTGAAGACATCTTCTCCACACTCACCGCACTAATTTGTTGTGAATCAGATACCTTGAAACAAAATATAAATGATTTCTTTATGATCAAGAAATACTCAATGGTTAGGGTTAACAAAGAAATCAAGGTAAAACAACAAGGAACAACAAGGATTGGTTATAAACTGTTATTCTTTCCTTTCTCTTAGAACAAGATTATAAGTATACAAGAATAACAATATAACATCCCTCTCTTGAAATTAGGATTTTATCTTCCTATTTTTCCTTATGTCAAGATTGAGAAACTAGCATACTATTTATAAGGAAAATAGCACACTAACCTAATGAGTTTTTTTTAACAATTACCTATTACAAGCTAATTTAGGGTACAAGCTAACTAAACAATTGGGCTTACAAGTAAGGCGCAATTCAACATGCTAACAACCCTAGCGATATTGACTAATGCATGTTAGAACAGAATTCGACTACAACACACATTACTCCGACAGCAGCATGTGAACAGACTTCGACATCATACTTAATTCCTGACGAACCAGAAGCTACCCTTCGACCATACTAGAATTCGATTCAATATCTCACAGTTCTCCTTGACAACAAATGAGAGAATGGACTATTAGAGGGATTTAAACCAGAACTCAGGTCAAATTACCATTTTATCCCTCACATAAACCTTGTAACATCAATTAGCAATCACATTCTAAAAGCTATAAAAAGTGATTTCTTATGCCAAAAGTCGGCACATGTTCAATTTGGACTAAACATGTATATGTATATTCTCAATTTTCCCTTTAAATTTTGTTACATTGCAACAATAACTGATTTACAAATTTACAATACCTCATATAAATGACATATCCTTTTAGAGTAAGTGTTTAAAACTTGCTTTATGCTCTATCTATCTCTAAATTTGGCAGAACCAAGTTTTTGCAGAGTCAAAAAACTGTATTTCATCAATATCAGTCTACATTCTATCGAGCTTCTAACAATGAGATTGAAGCTTCATTTATTGAACACCCCTTTGAAGAAGATCCTGTGCTATTTGTATTATCTCTTCCATCGTAGAATCCCGGTTCGCATGGTGTTGGGAGTAACTTTTCACCCTTTAACATAAAAACCACAGATGACATGTTAGGCCTATTTTCTGGTTTCCGTTGTACACACAATAGACCAACATGAATAAATCTTAATATTTCTAAACATATGGCTTCGTCGTATAATATGTCAGCCATTAACTCCTCTGGCCTTTCTTCAATCCATAGTCTCCATGCCTAAAATAAGAGATATTAGAAAAGTAACTATAAACAGTGTCACAAGATAAAGAAACATATACACTTCAAAACTTACATGACCAAGAAGGTTTAGATGATGCTGAGGGTCACAAAATCCGCGATTCTTCCTACCACTAATTATCTCTAGTACAACGACTCCAAAGCTAAAAACATCTGATTTGGTTGAGAAATATCCATGCACTGCATATTCTGGAGGCATATATCCGCTGCAAGAAAAAAACATTAAAGTTAGGAAGAGAAATATATTAATACAAGTTTTGACATCACAAAACTGAAATTAGGAAGATAAATAAGCCGAACTTACTATGTTCCCATCACTCTATTTGTGTTAGCCTCGGCATGGTCTCCCATAAATGATCTGGCTAAACCAAAATCTGATATCTTCGGAATCATATCAATATCAAGAAGAATATTGCTTGTCTTGAGATCTCTATGTATGATTCTTAGTGTAGAATCCTGATGGAGATACAGCAGACCCCGAGCAATCCCATCGATAATTTCCAAGCGCTTTGTCCAACCTAGTAGTTTACTTCGCGTAGTATCTAACAGATTTCACATTCTTAAGTTAGCATGAGAACTACATTATTGAAAGAGTAAAACTAAAATCAATAAATTTTGTTGGTGTGAAAGTTATACCAAAAATAAAGTAATCCAAGCTTCTGTTGGGCATGAACTCGTAGATCAACAACTTTTCATCTTGATGAATAGAACAACCAAGAAGTTTTACAAGATTACGGTGCTGAAGTGTTGCCATTAACTTTACTTCATTTTTGAACTCCTTAGTTCCTTGTCCTGATGTCTCAGAAAGCCTCTTAACAGCAATCTCTCGTCCATCTTCCAATACGCCCTAGTAAAAATTTCGGAAATTTTAGTATCTTCACTACTTTCGTGAATTAAGATAAGAAAATAATTCGGTATGATAGTGATCTAGACCTTACCTTGTATACCGGTCCAAAGCCTCCTTCTCCTAACTTGTTCTGGTAAGAGAAGTTATTTGTGACATTAATGATGGTTGAAAAATCAAATACGGTTGGCAAATCATCTTCTTTCTTCTCCTTCTTGTGGTTCCATTGAATTAACTTTCTTATATAACCTGAATCATTGTATGATACATTGTAATAGTTATAATATTGGCCTATTGTAAGTATATCATGAAATTTACTTATCATAGATTTTTCACTTGGCTTACCAAGCTTCTTCCTAAATGGTGATGTCGCCAATAGAAGAGCTGTAAGTCCTATGATGAACGCAATAACACTTAGGAAAATTGCAGCAAGCTTCATATTCATGTTCTTCTTATTCTTTGTATGATCTGATAAGCGTTGAAGAAAAAGCCGATAAACAAGAAGTTATAAGCATGATAAAAAAATAAAAGAAAGTAAGGTTAATCATATGAAATTACCTAGTTCGGAAAATGCCAGTCGTATGTAAATGTCTTGTCCTTGATCTAAGTGTTTTCTCATGTCCACGACGCTATGAAACCAAAGTAAGCAGCCACTTCCACCGTATCGGATATCTAAATTTGCATATGCAATGCAAGAACAGTTTTTCAAACACACAGTCTTACATTCCTCGAGGCTCAAACTTCTGTCATACCACGACGATGAAGTGTCTGGCAATTTCATGTTCGTGTACTTCAAAAATCCATCTCCATCGGGACAATTCAATTCCGTTCTCCTTACACACCCTCCAGACCAATTGGAGGACTCCCATTTCGCTTGAAATTTTGGTATAAAACCATCCAAGCATTCGCACATCGGAAAGTCATTAACATTGCAGTTAGAGTTGATACCACACAAGGCATAATCATCACACTGGTCTGCAGGACGCGTAACCGTCGCCTGCCAATTCTGTGTTTCATCTGACCATAGAAAACGCTGCGAAGTTCCATATGAATCTAGCACCGTTCTAGAAATGATCGAACTGTTCAAAGTTTCGTATTGATAAGAAACTTCCTTGTCAGTGAACACAAATAAGAGATTATAGATTCTATGCATCGGCCACGAAATTCCACTGAAAAGAAGTCCATTCCATGAACCTGATCTATACACTAACCTTTCTCCCTTTGCAGTAACCAGTTGTGGAAAACCACGAGTATCTAACCGATAAGAAAACTCACCGTCAGAAGGATCATCAGGACTTTTCCATGATCTGATATATTTATACGGACCAGTAACTAAATTACTTCTCAGCTTCATTCCAGCAAGGAAAGTGTCACCAGGATAATCAAAACTCTCCCACAAGAAATCCTTGTTTTCACCGCTGCTGTTCGCATCTTTCACAACAAGGTTTCCTGAATCCAGCAACTGCACAACAGCTGGTTTCACCACAATTCTTGATGAATTAGAGGACCAGATTATGCCATTTGAGCCATCAAGAATAACAAGAGTTCCCTGATCATTGAGTTTCAGCATTGCTGTTGAGTTTTTTACAGGAATGTTTCTATTGGCAACCCACACAATAGTCCTAGGTGATATGCTCTTGTACCATATACCGAAGTATTGGCGTTGTGGATCTCCAAAGTTGAAAAATCCTGCTTCAAAGGTTCCAGCTGCAGACACAAGTGTATCCCTATATTGTATAAACTGATTTGGAGCAACAGTAGTAAAGGTGCTCTGTTTAGAGAAAGTTGGCATGGAGCAAAAGAAGAAAGTAAACACCATTAGCATGAGCACCTTATGGTTCTCCATTGTGCTTGTGTTGTTTGTGCTCATCCTTTTCATTTTATCAAATTTCTAAATTCAATTGACATGGCTTTGACCAAGTCTTCCAGAATGCTCCAAATTCAAAACAAAGTGGGCAAATTTGTTTTGTGGACTTGTGTATAATTAATTAGTCCTGTCACTCAAGCTTTAATGGTTGGTTGGTATGTTGACCAAATGTTAACTGGCTCATTTTCAACACTTGGGGGGCTAAATTTTGGAAATTCTGTTCATACTTATGGTAGAAATTTACATTTCTCTCCTCAAATTATTATAAAAAGATGAAACGTGAAACACAATCATCAATAGTATACCATCAAAGGGCCACAGGTGTTGCAATACTGATTATAATATGGCCCGCAAGGTGGTTATATAAAATGTTTCACGATTTCAGTCTGTACAGGTGTTGCAATACTGATTATTGACGTTATAGTACAAAAACGGTGAATAAAATATCAGTATAATATCTTCTGATATCGTTTTGTCGCGAACTTGTGGCCATGTGCTACTTGTCCGGTTGAAAATGAAGCAAGTGAGGTAGAAATTGAAGTCTTTATCAAACTCTAAAGTCTAATTAAGTGAAGACTTTTGTGATATATTAGTTGCCTGTGAAATGGGTTATTCCAACTGAAACATCAATGGTGACTAATCATTCTAGAGACACAGTTTCTCAGAAACGTGTGCATTTGTATAAAAACCAGAGATATGATGGTGATTGAATTGATATGTGGTGTGTAAAATCAACGGATTCTCAAACAATACTACAAGTATAAATGATTTATTAAAAGTACATATTCATTAAAATATATGAATGTAATTGTAATTTTTAAAATTAATTTTAAAACTCACCCCATGATTTATTAAAAACATATATAAATGATTTATTAAAAATACATATTCATTATTAAAAATGCAGTGAGCCCCAAATACATGAAAGACTTTGCGGTATCTTCTTTCAAGAAGAGGGGTAGGAAACAATTCCACTATTGAAAGCTTCTATTTGTTTAGTTTGTTAGCATTAATTGATAAAAATATCGTTCAAGTCGAATAGATTTAAGATTGAGTTGTAAATGATGTCACTTTTTTAAAAACTATTGTAAATACTCTCTTGTATCTCTTAGAATCGAAACGCCGGAATACCCAAGATAATTTAAACTTTATCGAATTTGTGTAAGACAAACGAAAACCCGATTATGTAATGAAGAGTGTTTGGAATTTCGTAGAAGAGGAAACTCAGGTTCGTGATGTGATTTATGAATTCCAAATGAGGTTTTTATAGGCCATATGTTGTTTCACAAGGTTGCGACTCTTGATGAAACAATATCTTTTAATCAAAAGTTGTCATATTTACAACCATTACTTATGTTCATTCTGCAGCAATCTTTCATGAAAAGTTGCTTCTTTTTTAATTCAAAAATCAAACGCATGCATCGACCAAAGCGAGAGCAATATAACGCGACGAGTAGTTTGATTGTTCTGATGCGTCATGCTCAAGTGCTCAAGTGTCGCCTACAAGCCGTCACTAGCGCCTCTACGCCCATGCCCTCAAACCCGATGTCGCCACCGCCACCGACGAAGGGTTGTATGGAGGAGACAAGTGGCATAATGTTTGGGACCACCATACTTATTCATGTGACATTTTATCCTTTTTTATTCTTTTGTTGAGTTAATGCTCGTAACATTTACTCACTTTCATTTATTATTATCATTTTGAATCAATACCTATTGTAATTTAATGTTATATATTACAACATTAATCACTAGTTTGTTATGACTTATCAATTTTGTTAGGATTAATCACTAGTTTGTTATTCAAAATTTGCAATTATGAGAAATGTACTCTTTTAAATTCTTCCTAGATTGTACTATATATGTATGGGTTGACAGAATGAATAAAGCAGTAAAAATTATCAGAATTTTTTATTGCACTCTATAGACTTCTTCCACATTATATGAATTTTTACATTATTTTTTGATTTCGGAGATATATCTCTGAACGCACCAAAATTCAAGTGAACGTTAAAATATTCCGGAGATATATCTCCATAACATTTTGGAAACGCTAGACTCTTCTCCTCCCACACTTTTCATTTTCATTCAAACACAACTCTTCCACTCTCTCATTCTCAATATTCTCCAACTTTATCAAATCAGATTTGATCAATAGGAAGCTCAATGAAACATCAAGCATAATCCATTTCATCATTCAACATCTTCCAAATCAAAAATTTCGGGTAAGTTTTTTCAGTTTTCGATAAATAGTCCAGTTTTGTTGTAAATGAGTTAGAATCAATTGTTAGAGTAATTGTATGCATTATTTGTTGGCTAAAATGGACGATCAGGTTGTTATTTTTCACAATTCAAGTAGCAGAGAACGCCATTGTCGCGATCTCTGGTTCTCAGAATATTTCGAAGATACATCTCTAGAAAAGTTCAATGTTTCATATGTTTTGGGAAATTACAGAGATACATCTTCAGAATAGTGTAAGAGGTATTTCCGTAGATATATCTCTGAAATTTCCTCAGTTTATTTTTTTTGTTTTTTTGTTTTTAATAACTTTCTTGTTTGTGTTGTTCTTTTGCGTAAACTAATTATATGCCTAATTTTATCTTGCAGACATAATGGCTGACAAAGTCGACAAACTGAGACTTGGACGGGTTTCCCATCACACATCTGTTCGGCGGGAACGGAGCCAGAGGTTCCGGAGGTAGCAGGTACATCTATTCAGGCATAGGCTTTGACTTATGGGGTGCATTCTACTCATGGAGCTCAGTCTACTCCTAGGGCTCAGCCTTCACCTCAAGCCACCTTTAACTCATGCCACTCCATCTTTATCTCAGGCCACTCCACCTTCTTTTTCTTCTTCCGTAGAAGACGGGATGCACTAGCTGACGTGTCACTTCCATCATCCTCCTGCAAGCATCGGAGTGCACCAGTGCCACCTCCTGCTGATCCGGTGTAACCCCCCATTGATGATCCTAATGCACTAGTGCTACCTTCGAAGGGTGAGGTTGCTGATGCCGATCTAAAGGAATTCAGAAGAGGCACTGATGGTAATAAATTTTTATCCTTGAATGTTTTTTTTTATCTTTTTCATTTCATATTTGCGATAATTCTTGATCCCTAAATGTTTTTTATTTTCATTTCAGGCTTGGTTCCTCCAGCACTTCCCGCACATCACTGGCTGGGCGAGTTGGGATGAGTACACTGAGGAGATGCCCCGTGCCTGTGGTTTTGTCCCGCTGGAAGGGAACTACGTGGTCGACCCTTTCAGAGTCTATCTTGATTGCTTAGTTACCGAGGACATCTACTTCAACTCCTATGTGGATCACCATCAGATGCGACCATTTGACGACATATCTTTATACTCTGAATGGCTGGCTTGCGGATCGCGTATCGCCGCTCCTCATCTGTCTGAGCGCGTCATGCAGCAATTCGGGTACACCTAGACCATCTTCACACACCCTGTTGTCTCTGTTCCTCTTGTCTTGACTCGTATACTGATAAAGGAGATGTTTGTTGATTATCAGAGACATCTGGTACTAGAGGAGACTCAGGCTACCATAATGCCGAATGACTGGAGCTAGTCAACGGATACATCATGTGGTTCTTCAGAGTCTCACATTCGTACATGGTGCCGACTGCTCTAGGAGATCCGTTGATTCTAACTCATTAGGAGATTCTTGAGGAGAAACAAGTTCAACTAGATCATACTGAGGATGTATTGCCTCATTGTCATTGCATAATGGAGATTGCGCAGAAAGGCATTGACGAGGGTATCTTCCCTGAGGGGTCTGCTGTCAGGAGAGTACTAGATGACATTCTTGCGGAGGCACATGGGCATTATTATACCGCTTACATCGCGCGAGGATGGAGGGATTGATGGGCGAGGAGGCGGACCAGACAGAGGAGGCACAAGAGGTAGATGAGAGGTTTTCAGACACACCTAGTAGAAGTCTGTTATTATTTAATGTAGTACTATAGTTTGTACTTTTTTCTGACATTGTTATTACATTTTGGATTGCGTGATATACGTAATTTTACTATTATTTTGTATGTCTTTTATTTTATTCGAGACCGTGCTTCATAATTCATTTGAAAACAAATACATAATGCGTTATAAAAAAACCTGTACTGGTATGTATCTCTGAAAAATTCCCGTAAATGCATCTCCGAAAATATTCAAATGAAAAAGGGTTATGGGAGACATGTTGTGAGCGTTTAAGGCTTAAAATAGTTCCAGAGATATATCTACAAAATATGTTGACGTTTACTCAGAAGTGGAGTGTGTTCGAAGATGTATCTCTAGAACCTGGGGGCATAAGTGAAAATCCACACGGTTCACAAGAAATACATAGGGTAGAAAAAGAAATTCTCAAAATTATTGAGATTCATATTGTTATTAACTATAACATAGTTATTATTAATTGTTTTCCGCAATTGCATTCTTACCCCTCGCTAAAATTTGGTGCTCTCATTATGATGTCTTCATCTCCCTTAATTCGGGCATGGCAACATAAATCGTACTTGTGGGTATCCATCTGAACCCGTCTCTAAGTTGACGGGGAAAGTCTGTTTTGATTGGGTTTTAGTTCGGGTTTGAATTTTTCCCGATCAAAAAAATATGGGGACGAGTCGGTTAATTTTGACACTAGTATTCACCCTGTTTATTTTATTATGTACATTGTTATTTAGTTTTAATAATTTAGAATATTAAACATGTGGCCATTGTTTTGGTATTTTGATTTGTATTTATTATTTAAAATGTATGTATGAAATTTGTTGAGATTGTTTTATTTTATCATTTTTAATGTAATTTGATTTTAAAAAGAAATGATTTTTCTACTAAAAAAATTGATTTTACTAAAAGGATGGTGGTGGGGCAGGGATACCCGAACCCGTTTGGAACGGGTTTGGGTTTTAATTCTCCATCGGCGTTGGGGTTTGGACGGGGAACAAGGATTGTCTGGGGATTCGGGTTTAGGTTTAGGGGAGGTAAAAACCGTCCCCGACCCGCCCC